GAAGAGCCAAGAGCGGCCCCGAGGGTTTGGGACACGCTCGGAACTTTGGGGTGGCAAAATCCACGGTTTGGGATTTTCCAGAGGTTTCTGCTGGGGCAGGGGAGGAGGAGGAGCAGTGAGGATGTGCTGGAGGGGAGAGGGAAGGGAAGAAGCAAACCCCAAACCGAAATAAACTTTCCCCTATTCCTTTTAGGGTTTTGCCTCTTTCAAACCCCTCGTGTTGGGTTTGCGTTCGTGGCTCGACGTCGGGTGATGCCAAATTTTCATCTTTGTGATTTACAACCAATAATTTCACCATCCCAAGTCAGCACAGCCTGGCCACGGGTGCAGGAGTCAGCACAGGCCTTTCCCCCAATCCCCTCATCCCAAACCCATTGCTGGGAGAGGGAGGGACGGGCTAAAACCCCTCAGGAGATAAAAACTGAGCCCGAGGACAATGAATTCTCTTATTTTCTCTGTTTTCTGGATCACAAAAAAAAAAAAAAAAAAACAAACCAAAAAAAAAAAAAAAAAAAAAAAAAAAAAAAAAAATCACCTGGCCAAAATCAACCCTCATAACTATGCCAGGCAGAGCTCATGTAATTAATTCTGATTAATTGCCCTTCCTAAAGCACGGGCTGAGGTGCAGGCAGCCGATGGCTTCTCTTGGTACAGAAACAGCCACACATCAGATTGACACAGAGCACGTCTGCACGGCACAGACAAACGCTGCTCCATCAGATCCAGATTTTCCAGCTCCCAGTGCAGCTGTCTCCCCGTGGATATTGTGTCACACAGCCCAGCAGCCAAGGGGAGGGAGAGATCCAAGCCAGACTGACTTTCCCTGGAATTAAACCTGCTCCTGAAAACCTCCCTGAAAGGCAGCGTGCTTTGGTTTCAGCTCCAGCCTCAAAGCACCTGTTGGAAATATCTGAGTTGTGCTGTGGAACGAGGGATTGATCCCTGCTCCAGGCTCTGCAGCACTCCTGGTTTGGGATTTTGGGATTTTGGGGGGGGGGGTGACTTTAAATCCCAGATGACATTTTGGGGTTGAATCTCTCCAGGCTTGGAGCACCCACAGCTTCCAGCTCCCATCCCCAGGGTCTGACAACAAAAAAAACCCAAAAAAACCTGGAAATCCTGGAGCTTTTGGGGCCAAAGCTTCCCTGTGCTGTGCCCAGGGATGTGCAGGGCAGTGGGAATGCAAACATCAACCCCAGAGCTGGGTTTGCTGCAGCTCAGCTTTAAAGGGTTAATTCTAAACCACCAAATCTTGGCTTTAAAGTGTTCTCCTGCTCTGCCTGGCCAGGGAGGTTTTGGTGGGATATTGGGAAAAAGGGAATGGGCACAGCCAGAGCTCCAGGAGGGTTTGGACAATGCTCCCAGGGTGGGATTTTTGAATGGATGATCCCTGTGGATCCTTCCACCCTTCACCAACTCCCCCAGAGGAAATCAAAGCTCCAAACCCAACCCCTAAAAAACTGCCTGGACATCACATCCTCCAGGAATGCCCCAGATCCTGCTCCTGCCAGCTCACCACGGACTCCTCACTCGTGTCCAGTGTGGGAAATGGGTCCCACTCAAACCAGAACCATCCCAGTCCCAGCTGGGTTTGGCTCTCACGGGTCCCAGTTTCCACCTGCTGGAACAAACGGCTTTTCCCAATCATTTTTCCTTTCTCCAGAAGGACAAAATCCCTCCCAGCAGGGACAGACTCTGTCCCTTCACTCCTCAGCTTCCCAATATCAGCAGAAACAGAGGCACAAAGACAAGAAATGTCCCAGTTCATGTCGAGTTTTCCCAGTTTCCCTGTAACTGGACAGGGTTTGTGGTGATTCCTAATGGAGAGAGCAACAATCACAACCTGGGAACACCAAATTCCTGTTAATCACCCCAAAGAGCAGCTCTGAATTTCCTCCATCCTCAGGCAGAGCACACAGGTGAGGGTTAATACTGAAAAAATTCAGGTTTTCCAGTCAGGGGCAAAGCAAAGCCCAGGCACTCGCACAGCAAAGCTCCCTTTTTGATCAATATAAAGCAGAAAGTTTTGACTTTGTGACATAAAAACACTGCAGGGCAACAAGGATGATTCATTTTGAGGTCACTCCCAAAAAAAATTCCCCCCCCAAAATCCTGAGGTGCTGCTCTGAGAAGCACAGAGAAAGGATAAATGAGAAAGGAGAAATGATTAAAAAAGGAAGAAACTGCCCATCACATCTCTGAGGAGGTGAGCCTGTGATTTATTGCTTCTCAATCCAAAATAAAAAAAATTAAAATTGAAATTTAAATCAAAACTGATTTATTTCAGCAGCTCCCCTCCCTCCCAGAGCCCAGAACAAAGGGACACCTCTCACAGATGGGGGCTCGAGGATTTTTGGGGCTCTGAGAACCAAAACTCTTTTTCTGAAGCTCCCAAACCCCTTTGGCACCAGGTCCTGGGCAGGGTTGGTCACCCCAGCCCTGCCCAAACCCAAAATCTGACCCAGCTTCCCACAGCCAAACCCACCTTCACCCACCACCACCAAACATTTCCCATTTTCTGCTCACCAAATTCACCTCAAGCCTGGGGATACTCCACATTTCTGCAGCCACCAGAAAAAAAAAAAAAAAAGTTCTGCCTGTTGTTGGAAGATTTGGGAGAACTTTTGTTCTTAAAGTATAAACTACCCAGAAGGAAAAAAAAAAATAAAAAAAATAAAATTTAGCATAAAAACTTTTAAAAGCTTCCAAGTGCTCTCTAGGGTAGTCATTAGGAACTACTTAGGTAACAGGAGGGTGATAACAGGGAGTTAATGCAGCGTTAAATTAGCCCTCCTTCCATGCAGAACTTTAAGTGACAGAGGAATCAGTTGGGAGGATTTTTATTTTATTTTTTAAATAATGAAGTTAATGGATTTCCTGTTTTTAGCTCTGTGGGCGGCTGTCAATTTGAGGGATCTGTACATACTGGATTTAATTACTCTTGTCTTCATGGAAGGAAAATAAGTTCAGCCCTGGCTCCTGTCAGCAAGCACGAGCTCTCCAGCTTGGCCTCGAGGTGAGGAGAAGGTGCCCACAGGGAGGCTGGGATGTCCCTGGAAAGGGAAACTGCATTCCCTAAAATCCAGGGAATCTGGGGCTGCTCCAGCCTTGGGAGTGCCCAAGGACAGGTTGGAATAACCTGGGATAGAGGAAAGTGCTGGATGAGTTCTAAGGTCCCTCCAAACCATTCCAGGATCCTCAACAATCCCTGGAAAGGGAAACAGCATTCCCTAAAATCCTCTGGTTCAAGGACAGTTGGAGCAAACTGGGATAAAGGAAGGGGTTGGATGAGTTCTAAGGTCCCTCCAAACCCAAACCATTCCAGGATTCTCAACAATCCCTGGAAAGGAAAACAGCATTCCCTGAAATCCTCTGGTCCAGGGAATTTGGGGCTGCTCCAGCCCTGGGAGTGTCCAAGGCCAGGTTGGAATAACCTGGGATAGAGGAAAGGGTTGGATGAGTTTTAAGGACCCCTCCAAACCATTCCAGGATCTTCAACAATCCCTGGAAAGGGAAACAGCATTCCCTAAAATCCTCTGGTCCAAGGACAGTTGGAGCAAACTGGGATAAAGGAAGGGGTTGGATGAGTTCTAAGGTCTCCTCCAAATCCAAACCATTCCAGGATTCTCAACAATCCCTGGAAAGGGAAACAGCATTCCCTGAAATCCCAGGGAGGGAATTTGTGGCTGCTCCATCCCTGGGAGTGCCCAAGGACAGGTTGGAATAACCTGGGATAGAGGAAGGGGTTGGATGAGTTTTAAGGACCCCTCCAAACCATTCCAGGATCCTCAACAATCCCTGGAAAGGGAAACAGCATTCCCTAAAATCCTCTGGTTCAAGGTCAGTTGGAGCAAACTGGGATAAAGGAAGGGGTTGGATGAGTTCTAAGGTCCCTCCAAACCCAAACCACTCCAGGATTCTCAACAATCCCTGGAAAGGGAAACAGCATTCCCTGAAATCCTCTGGTCCAGGGAATCTGGGGCTGCTCCAGCCCTGGGAGTGCCCAAGGCCAGGTTGGAATAACCTGGGATACAGGAAAGTGTTGGATGAGCTTTAAGGTCCCTCCAAACCATTCCAGGATCCTCAACAATCCCTGGAAAGGAAAAAAACAGCATTCCCTGAAATCCTCTGGTCCAGGGACAGTTGGAATAACCTGGGATAGAGGAAAGTGTTGGATGAGTTTGAAGGTCTCCCCCAAACCCAAACCATTCCAGGATTCTCAACAATCCCTGGAAATCCTGGCACAGCCTGTGCCTCAAATCCCAGGTTGGGAGGGGAACAAAGCCCAGGAATGGCTCAGAGCATTCCCAGGGCTCCCTGATAATTCAGACAGGGACAGCAGGGGTGAGGCTGTCCACAAAGGAAGGGGCAGAATCCCAGGATGGTTGAAGCTGGAAAAGCCCTGCAGGATCATCAAATCAGACACCAGGCACTTCCCATCCCACTGCAGGCCAAATTCCCAAATTTTGGGAGACCAGGATCCACTCTCTGCTTTGGGAACAAACTTTGGGGACAATTCCAGTGAATTTGGAATCTCTCTCCTGAAGGAGATTCCAGCCCTGAGTGTCCCCCCAGCCCCAATTCACCTTTTCTCATGGAAATCATGGAATGCCAGCATCATAAAAATCGGGAAAGATCCTCCAGCATCATCACCGAGCCCATTTTTAGAGAAAGATCCCAAAATGCCACAATCACTGAGGTTGGGCAAGATCCTCCAATGGCCACCTTGTCCCCATGCCAGAGCCCTGAGTGCCACATCCAGAATTCCTTGGACACCTCCAAGGGATGGGAATTCCAAACTTTCCAAAGCCTGAACCACCCCTTTTTCCATGGAGAAAATTCCTGCTGATGTCCAGCCTGTCCAACCACAGCCCACCTGTGTCCCACAGGGAAAAATTGGGAAAGTTTGGAAAGTCCTGGTTGGGAAATGGGAACAGGAGAGATCCAGGACAACGACACCACCACGAGCAGGTGATCACAAATCTGCTACACAAAAAAAAATCAGAAAAAAAAATAAAACAAAACAGAAAAAAAACCCAGAAAAGCTGAAATTCCCTCCAGCCCTCCAGGCCTGCAGGAGGACACAGCATTCCCACTCATCCCACGGTGATTCCCAGATTTTTGCCTCACTCGTTCCCTCTGCTCCTCCCCTCCCGAGGAGCTGAAGGCTCCAAGCAGGTTTTGGGTGCTGGGATTTCCATTTTTCTTCTTCTCTGGCAGCTTCAGAACCCGTGAGCAGCTCTTCCCCCCTGATGCTTTAAATTTTAATTTCCATTTTTTCCACATTTTGCATCAGTGATTCTGAATTTCACATCAAGTGTCACCAAGTTCTCCTCACAGTCACTCAACAAAATTCTTTTCCAGCCCCCAAAAGTGCAAACAGCAGCGAATTGAGGAGACAATCTGGATTTTTTTCCCCCCCAAGGATCCTTTCACACACTCCAAGTGACCACATAAGCACAGATATTAAAAAGAAATTATTTTTGAAGCATCTAAAAATGAAAAAATATCCAAAATTCATTCATTCCAACGCATTCCCTCAGGAACCCAAAACAGGGACAAGAACAATTTCCATGGAGGTTCCTGCACTTTTTCCATGGATTTTTCACCCCCAAGGATCCTTTCACACACTCCAGGTGACCACATAATCACAGATATTAAAAATAAATTATTTTTGAACGATCTAAAAATGAAAAAATGTCCAAAATTCATTCATTCCAATGCATTCCTTCCCAAAACAGGGATAAGAACAATTTCCCTGCAGGTTCCTGCACTTTTTAAATGGATTTTTCACCCCCAAAGATCCTTTCACACACTCCAGGTGACCACATAAGCACAGATATTAAAAATAAATTGTTTTTGAACGATCTAAAACTGCAGAAACTTCCAAAATTCATTCATTCCAGTTCATTCCATTAGAAACCCCAAAAAAAGATAAGAACAATTTCCCTGCAGGTTTCTGCCCCTCATCTTTCACTTTTTAAATGGATTTTTCACCCCCAAAGATCCTTTCACACACTCCAAGTGACCACATAATCACAGATATTAAAAATAAATTATTTTTGAACGATCTAAAACTGCAGAAACTTCCAGAATTCACTCATTGCAGTGGAGCAGTGACAAGTGCTATGGAACAGCTCCTCCCAGATGTCCCAGCACCAGCAGAAATCCAAATTTCGGTGCCTAAAAATGAAGCAGATGAAGGATTCCAGTCCTCACTCTGCACTTATTAAATCAGCCTGGAAAATCCTGCAGGGCTCTGGGCTGGGAGGGAAAGTTTGGATCGGGGTGTGCAGGGAGAAAGATGTAG